GGGAAAAATGGAAGAAAGAAATGTTAGGGTTATATGGGTAATTTGGAGATTGTATAAAAATATTAAGCACAAAAAGATAAAAATGTGGTCAACTTAAAACAGCTTATAAGCTAAAAAAAAAAAAAGCACCCCTACCCCAGCTTTTAACTTTTGGCTTAAAATAAGTTTTTTTTAACTTAAAATAAGCTGTTTTGAGTATTGCCAAACAGCTAAATAAGTCAAAAACCAGCTTTTAAGTCAGTTTGACCAGCTTTTAAGCTGAGCCAAACAGGCTCTTAATTTCTCCATGGATAAATATATTAATCCACTGCACCTTTTGTTTCATAATCTAATAGTTCTTATATAATATTTTTTTATTGGTCATTATTTTTCTTTTTGATTCGTGCCTTCGTTCATTTTTTTATTTTCATGATTGTTGGAAAAATACATCATCTAATAGTTCTCTTGTAATATTCTTTTATTAGTCACTACTTTTCTTATTTGTTTGTGCCCTTCATTCATCTTTTTATTTTAATGATAGTCGGAGTATTTATATTCGAAGAAACTTAAGCCTCGGGACTTAGAATTTTTGAGTGATGATTCTAATTGGTAAAAATATATTTCTATCTTTACAAGTTATTCATTATCCCCCTAATTTTTTTTTATATTTATGTTTTAGGCAGAAATTAAACACTAGAAAGAGTTTATTTTATATGCACAAAAATACATATAGGAGTATTTCAGACAATGTTGAGTAATTTTATATCAACAAGAGATGGTCTTATATAAATTATAATAGTAACAAAGGTCAAACGTGCAAGGCACGTTTCCAGAACTAGTTATAATAATAAGATCGAAGAACGACGAAAGCAAAAGATCTGGGGAAATTAGGACACAAGAGAATGCTGCGATGGCCACGCGATGGAAACATTATCACCACCCTTGGTTGCTTGGCGTGACCACCCAAAATAATGGGTGGATTTCAAACTATATCATTAATTAAATTAGGGGGGGAAATACAAAAATATCCCTCTCAATTTTTGTTTATTAGTATAGCAGTCAATATGGATTAGGTCACTTCATCCAGGTTAATTCATATATGCTTTGACATTTTATGGGTCAGGCCAAGCTAGCCCAGTTTTTGTGTGGGCCAGAAAATAATCGGCTCAATCCACAAAAACGTGGGCTACAGACTTCTGGGTCGGCCCATTTTTTAAAAAATTATATATTTTTATAATTATTAAATTAAATTATAAATTATAATTTAAAATATTATCATAAATATCGACAAAATAATATTACATGATGTTAATGTTACTACTTGTTAATTAAATCCATAAATAAAATGAAAAATTACTTGGAATGATACCTTTTAATAAATAATTATTGAGTTTAGCAATACTTTTTGTTTATTATCATTTATAACAATACTATGGTAAATTTATAATATGTGTTAAAAGTGAATTATGTGTACAATAAATATATAGGAAAAAGATAATTGTTTTTAAAAATATATTATGTTTGTTTTATAAGAAATTGACACATTATATTATAAGTGTATTAAAATATGTGATAAATGTATTAATCATTAATAAAACTTGTATTATATGTGAATAATATATTATTCTTTATAATATGTATTAAAATTGTATTATAACATATTTTAAAAGTGAACAAGTGAAAAAAATGTTATTTTATAAATGGTAAATATTTTCTTAATATAATATATTTATGTATGTTTCCCTAAATAAGATTATATTCATAATGTTTATGGAAAAGAGTTAAAATTGCTCCTAAACTATGCGAAATAGACCACTTATACTCTTCATTACATTTTGGAATAAAAAATACTCCCGTTGTTATGTTGCGAGACCACAAATATTCTCAAGAGTCAACACCCCCAATTTTTTAGTGACATGACATGTCACATGGGACTAATCCCTACACCTAAGCCTTGCCAACTAAGATTCATTACAAAAGAACTTGACCTTTAGTGGCGAAAAATTGCCACAAAATCCCAAAATATTGTCACTAAAGGTTATGAGTGATTTTTAGTGACGACAAAGGCTTTTACGATCATTCGCTAGTAAAATCTATTTTTTAAAACAAAAATATGATAATTAATTTTCTATTTCAACCTAATTTTCTAAAATAAATAACTTGCAATATCAATATCTAAAAAATCCAATATTATTACGAAAAATCATGAAAATTACTTCTCGATTTACATCTCCTACTATATAATGCATCATTGTACATTTTATACATTTATATATAACATAAAAATAAAACATACATTGTCTTCAAACTCCTACTTAATCGATATCATTTTTGTTTTAATTAAAAACAACAAAGAAAAAAATGCAAAATTGAAATTTAATGTTAAAAATTTTTAGTGATGATTTTTTGGGCTTTTGTAGTGACTATTGTCGCCGTTAAAGATCTAGTTATTTTGTAGTGAATCCTAGTTGACAATGTTTAGATGGAAGAATTAATCTCATCTGGCTTGCCAAATCAATAAAATATGGGATGTTAACTCTTGAGGGTATATGTGGTCTCTTAGGATAACAACAGGGGCATTTTTTATCCCAAAATGTCACGAAGGGTATAAGTTGTCTATTTATGAAATCATTTCGCTCCCCGTAATAACCTATGAACTTGCTTCATGACATATTAGTAGCTATACCAATGTAGCAACCTTAAAATATTTGTACTATTAAATTAATTTAATCCAAATATATGATGTACTACTAAAAGACTTTGGTTTAATTCTATCAACAAAAAAAGATGCTCTTCCCCATATCCATCCATCTATAAAAAGCCTTTTAACAAGGATCAAAAGACATCTTTGATTTTTTAATAAAATAATTGAACAGTAATAATTAAGACAGATAGTTCAGTGACAATTTTCACCCTTTTCCAGAATGTTTATTAAGTTTTTATTAAAGCAAAAGTAGAGATATCTAAATAGAAGCTAATTATTTTGAGTTTGGATTCTCGTTAATTTTAAATAATTATAATATATTTTTAAATTAATTCTTATTGGCCCATGGACCGGCCCTAGAGATAATTATGAATTCCCACAAATCAGCAGACTTTTTTCAGGCCGGGCTAAAAAACCCTTTTCTTAAATGAGCTCCAAAAATCTTAGCCCAACCCTATTAATCCCAAGTTAGGTCAGGCCGGCCTAACATGCCTAGCCTATATTGACGTCTCTATTTATTAGTTGATAATGCTCTAACAATTAAAATAGAGTTATTATTGCCCTCGTCGTCTACAAACTTAATACATATACACCTAATTTAGACGAAATCTCTCAAATTGACTTCAATTACCCAGTTTCAATCAATATTTATTCATTTAAAATGAATTTTCAATAACCCGACCCACAACCCATTTAGTTAAAATCTATTTCAAATCAAATGGGTCGTATCCCAGCCACTATCTTTCGCTAGTAACAAAAGAGCTCTATAGAATTTCAATTCACGTCCATTTTAGCAGTAATGGATGAATGCAATGGTCAGAAAACCAAGATGGCTCGTGAGAAGAACATCGAGAACATGAGAGGCGCAAAAGGAT